TATTTTGTCATAGAAATTCACAAATATTTTTACACGCGAATAAACGTCGAGAGACGAAAGCAAAGGCAAAAGTTCCACGCAAAGTGTCGTAAAACTTTCGTTGAAAGGTTGGTAATGTACGTACATGAAACCCCGGAACGAAATCTAAGAATGTAAGAAAAAGCGGTCTTCGAAAAGCTTCGTAAAGGAAGGAATTGCATCAAGGAATCAAAGTATTACCGACACGTATTATTATTAACAATTTTAACATTTATTATTACAAAACGCGCGACTCCGTTTAATAAATTGTAATTACAATTTGCTCGTTTGTTGTAAAGTTTCCACGTTGTATATGTTAATGTATAAAACAGTGCCATTTAGGTTTAACCGGTATCGTTCATATTTCCTCGTCGATGAATGCGTGATGTATCTTCAGTATCGTTCACACGGGGACGTAGGCCTAAAGTTGTTTTCATTCTATTGCGTAATTCATTGGATTAAAAAATGGAAAGTAATCGGTTTCGCTTTTTCTTCTTTCGAAACGTCGAAAATCTCATCGGTGTATTTTTCTTTGTAATCTTTTCTAGCGCGAGAGAAGCAACTTTTTACGATGGTGACCATTATTCTTGAATGATACGGATCAACACCTTCGCCAGTCGCTAGGATCGTATTATCTGATGATGTCGAGATTAACAAGAAATCTATTTACCTGAGAATCGTCGCTTTTTTTTTTAGCGTTTAGAAACTATAAAACAACTGCCTGCCGCGGTAGATCCTTTGTCGTTTCACAAGATCACAAGTAGCTTCGACTGAGAAAGTGTTGATCGAAAGTTTGATATATCATTGTGTATCATAGGGGACTAGAATATTTTATATTCAATGTGTCAGCATTTTTGTAATACATGAACGTTAGCGTGTAAATCATGAAAGCGGTAAAGTGAATGGTGGTAAACGTGTTTTGAATCTCGTCTCGTATACATCTCTTCGTGTATTTACCCAGCTTTACGGTGGTAATGAACCATTCCAAAATTTCACTCTCTTCAGTGTAATAATCATCAAAGACATTCAAAGTACTTTTAATTGAACGCAGAGGCGACTAAACGGCTTTGCGTATTGTTGTATTTGTTACATTAAGAGTTATACTGTTATGCAATGCGTTGCTCGTTTTCTTAATGTGTATATATTTATTTTTAAAGCTTTCCTGCAGGAAGAAGCAAAGACAGTTTGGTAACCCGCGGATGCCAAATGTAATTAATGATTTTTCGTCGTGAAAGAATGTAACTTTTTAGCACTTTGTTTTGTATATTATGTTGATAATTAATAATATAACAATTCTTACAAACTGAGAAGGAATGTCAAGTGTTCGTGTGAAAGAAGTGGGAAACTGGTTAAAATAATATCATAAAACGTTGGAAAAGTTTTATTTTTCAGAAAACACGAGAATCATTTAGGCAAACCGTTGATCATTCCGAGAACTTTTGATGACTAAAAGTGTTTAAAAAAAGACTTTTATTCTCGTTCTAATTCCTCATAAAAATATATATATATATATAATCGTCTCTATACAATAGAAACACTCGCTAAATGTATAGATACGCGTAACATTAAATATAGTTTTTAAAAGATAACAATCTCATATGCGGATCAGTGGAACATCGCTTGCGAGTATGATTCGTGGAAGACTTGTTCGTAACGATTTTGTGATGTTATGTAATGGAAATACTGTTGTATATATACTGTTATGTTGTCATGATTCGTTTCTTATATATGGCGTGTAAAAGGAACAAAAGTAATAGGACTCATTCGACTGATTCTCTTCATGGAAGACCGTGTTGAACAAATTATTGGCACTAGTGTCGCAAAGTCTCCACGTATTATACACAATTGGTCACTAGTATCGGTAACACTAGTTATTCCACATCTTCTTTGCCATTTTATCTGCCACCCGTTTGACGCAATTCTTCCAACTACAACAAAATATAGTTTCTCAACATCGAAGTGTTTCGCGTTATGATCCGAAATAAAAGATTGATGAAACAGCACGAACCTCCTTCTCCTCGTCTACTTCGTCTTCCTCGTCGGAACCGTGAACCGAAGCAGCTGGAGTAGTGTGCCTCGAGGAGGAAGGCGACGGTGGTTCACTGATAGGTCTGGGATAACTGAAACGTCCTACACCACCTTCGGCATACTCGGAAGCCAATTCTGGATAAACGGTTGTCAACGCTTTGATTCTGGCTTGGCGATAATACTATCAAAAAATATGCTCCGTGTTTAATTTGATTTGGAAAGTCAGCGACGAGAAATTAACAAATACACTCACGATGCCAAGATTTCTCCAGTCAAGAAGATCGCTGAGACGTTCCGTGCGATTTCTCTGAATGATACGTTGCCGTCGACTTAATCGCGCAAAGTCGAACATGTATTGAGCCAGCTGTTGAACACTGCTCTCTAGGCCAATGAATCGTCTGTCCACGATGTAGATGCCGTAACTCATCGGGTCAGCTATGTGTTCCTGCATGAAGCATCCGAAACCGGACAAGTTCGTGGTTATACTAGGAATACCCATAACGGTACATTCCGCAGGCGTGTATCCCCATGGTTCGTAATACGACGGGAAGACACCTAAGTGGCATCCTCTAACGAAATCTTCGTAATCGAGACCGAATAATGGATTGGTAGACGACAGGAACTCTGGATGAAATACTATCTGCAAATAAAAATTGATACCAGTTAAGTGATACAGTTTTTTTTTTTACCCATGAATTTCGTAAATCATATTTCTATCATAAATTATCCGAAACTGCACTATTAAAAAATTGTTAAACATATATCTGAAATGAAAATGAAGATTCCAAATAAAATTATCTCTATCTAAAATAGAGAAATCGATGTACAGAGGAAGGTGATTTTTCTGAATATCTTTGGATAAAAAATGAGGAAGAATTTGACAGAAAGATGATTCAACAATTAATGGAAGAGGAGTTAACAGAGGAATACTCAAAAGCAATGTGGGAAAATAAAAGACAGCATGAAAGAAATACAAATTCTGTTGCTTGATACAAGCATGCCTGAGAATAATGAAATTGAACTTTTTCAACAGCTTAATAATCTAAAAATACACGATGATCTCGTTAACATGATACTTTGAATCCAAACGTAACTGAATTTGTTCCAGCATTTACATCAGCAGTAACATCTGTAAGTTATTGCACAATCATCATAGAAGCTAGACATTCATTTATTTAATTGAATAAAATGTAAACTCTGTATATATATGTATGGCTAATGTTCATCGTCTTCAATAACACAGTTGTATTAACTGAATTGCATTAAAAGTTAAATGATGACTATCCCTATATATAGAAAGGTGTAATGATGATTATCAAAGCAGATAATACATAATGCTATTATATGATATTTACGAATAATGAAGTCAATTATAACCATAAATTGAAAAAAACATATTGAAATATTTTTAAATTACCTTCACTCGATCATTAACTGTATTGAAAAGACTGCATCTTCTGACAGCGTTTAATACCGGGTCGTTCCAATCATCTACAACATTGTGCGTGGTGACCGGAGGCAAGCCATTCCTTTGTAGAGCATATAAACATCTGTAATGATACATATAATTTCACTATGCTTCTCTCGCTGTAATTGATATCATTGCCCAATCGAGTTTCGTGTTACCGTTTGATTTTAATAGTATCTTCCTTCTGTAAGAGATCCTGCGCGTCAGGCATACGACCAGAAAGACACAGTTCATACATGCGCTTTCCAATTTTCTGCTGTATGTCGTTAATTGTGTCTCGTAAAGACTTGGTAACCTTCGGCGAGAAAATAAAATGTATTAATGAGCAATGTGCGTGTTGTTTGCTCATATTTAAAAAGTAAATTATCTTACGGCATGACCACGTAACGACTCCACATTGAAATTATTGGTTCGCGCTGGAAAAATGAGGAAAGCAACGACAGTTACGTCAGGTTTAGACGTCTTCAAATAATGATTCAGCCTAGCTAAGGCTTCGATGAATATATCGGCGCCTTTGTTCCCAAACTCGTAACGTCCAGCGATGAAGAAGTACAGAGTTTTATCCAGATCGAAATCGTAATGCCTGAAACGGTGATTTAGAAGCAAATGTGTACACTTACAGGCATAGAGAACGAACGTTACTCTGTAATACCCACCCATAGAAATGACCTCTCACGAACTCGTGTATCTTCTCTTTACTAACAGCGTGCAAATTTTGAAATTCATGAATCGCCGCGAACTTTTTCACGTTGAGCCCGTTTGGCGTGATGATGTCGGGTTTTCGTTTCAGCAAATGCTCCGCTTCGAAACCCGTTATGTCCGAGACAGTTGTAAATATGTGCGCCAGGTGCGTGGCTGCACGTTCCATGCAATATCTGTGATAAATTTGACGCTTTCCTGCTTCCTCGTCCACGTTGAACTGCAAATCAAATCGAAGAAAATTAAAATGCGTCAAAGTGATGTGTCAAGAAAAAAGATTTAAGCCAAGATACCGTGTCCAAATTATTGTAGAAATCAATCTTCCCTGCGCATAGGTATCTTCCAAGAAGAGTAGCATGCGTGGTGAAAACTGTAGCAACGTCTACGTGTCTGGTTCTTAATGCGATCAAACCAACACCGGCTTGCCACTCGTGGCAATGAACGACGACACGGGGAGGGACATCGGAGTATTCTTCGGCAGCTTGTCTGAAGTCGAAAAATTTACATTTACCGTTTCGGTGAACAACGAGGGAAATACAAAAATTGACTCTCATGTCCTGTGAAATTCACCTGAACTCAGAGATAAATTGACAAACGAGATAACCAAGAATAACCGAGTCGTTAGCTTCTACATCCAAGTGAGGAATACCAAGATTACAGGTGTTCCACAATTCCTGCTTATATTCGTCTAATTTCCACGCTGCACTTCCAATATCAAACAGAATGATCTGTGGGTTTCCATCCACTAGCCAGGTTCCTGTTATCACCTCAACAAGAGCTCTTACTTTATGGTAAAGTAGATTTTCAAAGATATTACAGTTATCATGTTATTATAATACATAATATTGCATGATGTAATTACAAGAATACATAACATAATTATACTATTATGTTATGAAGATATTATAACAATGAACAAAGTGTATCTATGCCATAATTCACTTGCAGGGACAACTGCCCTTGAATCAATTTTGACTTTGCATCTGGACTTTAGCCAAATCTTATTCTTAGTACATAATGACATGTTTCAGTAAATGGAAGTATATATCTCTAACAAGCTTTTTTGCCTAATAAATAATTTTCTCTTTTATTACTTTGTCTCTGTGATTGCAGTATCAATTAAATACTTAAAATATGTTGCAAGAAAATTATTATTTAAACTTACTTTAAATCCTTGATCACGTAAGACTTGTACAGCTAAATGCAGTGGGCTATTGTGTGGAAAATCTGCTTCCTCAACCTCAGTACGTGCTGAGGCTTCTTTGTACGGACCAATAAGGCAATATTGGTCTCCCATTTCTTCTGTTGATACAAAAGCTTTGGACCTAATTACAGTGTATATACCACCAACTGAAAATGTAATGATGATAATTGTTATAAATTGACAGATTCACTTTGTTCTATTGACATACCTTTATTAGCAGCCTCCCATGCAACTTCAAAGTTCCATCGGTTTTCATGCTGTGCTGAATATCCACGATCCATAAATTCAAATAAATCATTACTGCTGTCCATACGATAAAATCTTCTTGCTACACGTTCCCTTGACATTTTGCTGTCCCTTTTGCAACCTTAAATTTCATTAAATTTGTTAAACATACACACTGATGCAGCATTGTTTTTGAAGAAACCAGAATATGCAAAAAGAAGGCTTGAATTACTTAATGGTGATATATCAATAGTCTTTGTTATTTTTCTCTTTTTTTATGGAATTTCTCACGTATTTTGCAATTTTTCATATTTACAATTACACAAACATTTCTTTGTATTTTATTTCTCGAGAAGAGTATCCAAGAAATGAAACAAAATAGAAGTACAATAGGACTTGGCTAAAGATATAGTATTCAAGAAATGAAACAAGAAATGAAAAGTACACTGGGATTTAAGCAAAGATAAAAAATAAATATTTCTCGAGAAAAGTATTCAAGAAATGAAACAAAATAAAAATACAATAGGACTTGACTAAAAATACAATGACAAATGTAATTCGACACTTATGCCGGGTACGATCACTTTATTCCATATTTGAATTTTCGAATGTTCTGTTTCAACAAGAGGATCGGGATCAATGCGCGCATGTGTGATTCTTTTATCGAGCAGCAAGCATTTTCCTAAGACTCGAACGATCGGAGCGATATTATGCCGGAAAATAGCACGTCGCCTAGAGAGACTCTGAAAGATCAGTGACACAATGCTAGGTATCTTCACTTCCGCAAGGATTTGCCGGTAACACCACATAACTCCACGCGGCGAGAGAGATTTCCTCGCGAAAACACGGTGAGCGAAAAGACGATAAATATTCAAGTTTCGAGGGAATTTACTTACTTCCGGCCGGTGCGATGTATCACAATATAAAAATTTAAAAAAAAATAGAGACGAGAAGCAGATAGGTGGCGAACAGGCGAGCAGCTCCACGGTCAACCTCTAGTGAAGGTCACCACAAACTACGAGAGGTCACAAGGGCTCGGTGGGGCTAGAGTCAATCCCCGGTTTCTCGGCCTACTTCAAACACGACGAATCTTGCTCGATTCACTGATAAACACATTGCCCCCGTGTGTCTTTCGCAAGCAGACAGATGGCACAAGATATGTATCAGGGAGAGACCGTCGTTGACTTAATCAATCTCACTCATTCTTCGTCGTGATACTTGCGGCTGCACGCTCGCGAAGTACGTTTTCGTCAGCAACTGACGAAGCCACGATTATTTTTGGTTGTTATATTTATACGTACGTATGTACATATATATTGTCAAATTGCTAAATTTACAAAGTTCACGTCTCAATCATCGAGTAAAATTTGTAACGTGTTTGGATCGTTTACGGCTCGTATCACACACACACACACACACACACACACGCAAGCACGCACGCACGCACATTTTTCAGATTTCTTTTCTGTGTGTTTGTAAAACACGTGGCAGGAATCTGAACCAGGAAACGAGATAAGTTATAACTTAAGTTATGAACAAATAAGGAATACTTAAATTAAAAGATATGAAAAATCTCTTGTTTTCGCGTTGGTACTTTCAATCATATCTATCTGGTTTGATTTTAAACCAGGTTTCTTAATGTAATGTACAAGAAATTGAGCCTCATGCCAGCCAGTGTTTCGATCTATTGAATGAAATTTCTAAATCTTTATACGGGCATTTCATATATCGATAGGAGTACAGGAAGGAAGTTTCGACTCTAATTTTAACGACGCACTCGAAAAAGTTCGCAAATTGATTGTATTAATCAATTTTTTTTGCGAATGAAAATTTGATCCATTCGTGGATATTCAAATGCTAGCGCCGCGTAGCGGTAAAGCGGTAAAACTAACCACTATCACTGTCCTTGTTGCATACTAGCGTGCTCCTTGTCTATCACGTGATGTACTTATTCTTGTCGCACACAGGTGCGCTCCTTGTCTGTGGCTAATGCTGCCATCTGAACGTCTGGCAATTCCGACCGGAACTGAAAGGATAAAAATTGAAATTTCGATCAATTCAACAGCGCTTTTCTCCGATAGATAACTTTAGAAAAGTCTCGTAGATGGCAGCGCCTCGCCAACAAAATAAACGACAAGGACAGTGATACACCGCATGCAATTCCTAGTGATTTCTAGTAAATTCTGGTAATTTCAGGTAAATTTATAGAAATGAATAATCGGTTTATTTGCTCAGCTTTGTTTAAATTAATCTTTTACCACTCAAATTAGTTTTCACAGCAATTATCGATACATTGAATTTAGCAGTTAGAGGTGTCTTTTCCAAATGACTCTTTTACACGCGTACATCCTGTGTAGCTGTAAGTTCCCTGACTAGAAAATACATCATTCATGAAATAGTATTGTTTGGAGCGGAGCGCCGGGTGGTCTCGAAGATTCTGTTTTGTCAATAACGGTAGCGGTGAACCACACGTAGAAACTTTACAAACATGGCGGTAAATATTCATTATAAATTAATGTTATAATTATTCGCCAATTTCAATTTGTTGCATTATGTTTGACAAATGTGTAGTTATTAAAACATTTTTGTTCTGTACAGGTCAATTAACCTATATAAAATCCATTCTTTTTTCCTAAAATGCCGTAAAATATGAAAAATGTCTTTTTACTTTTGAAATAATATTTCTTATATTATATTATATGTATTAACTTGTTATGTATATTATATTTTTAAAATATGTTATATGCCATTAATTAATGGAATTGAGAAAGGAAACAAATTTACGTATCTCTGAATACATCACGTGTTTGTTTGATTAATAGAATTGCTTTTGTTATTTTAGGCTGTTGCAGCTGCGAAGTGCCAGGAAGTTCGCGAAATCACAAGAATTGAGAGAATTGGCGCGCACTCTCATATCCGAGGTTTAGGTTTGGACGATAGTTTGGAACCTCGTCATGTACGTTAGCCTTTTATGTGTTCATTACTCTAGCACTCACTTCCATTAACCTTGTAATTGATCGTCTAGGTATCACAGGGTATGGTTGGTCAACTTATGGCTCGCAGAGCCGCAGGTGTTGTCCTTGAAATGATTAAAGACGGTAAAATAGCAGGTAGAGCTATATTGTTGGCAGGCCAACCAGGCACTGGAAAAACCGCCATTGCCATGGGAATGGCACAAGCCTTGGGTATGGACACTCCATTTACCTCAATGGCAGGTTCTGAAATATATTCCTTGGAAATGAGCAAAACCGAAGCTCTTACTCAGGCCATTAGGAAATCTATCGGTGTCAGGATCAAGGAGGAAACGGAAATTATAGAAGGTGAAGTGGTCGAAATACAAGTGGACAGACCTGCCACAGGTGTGGGTGCTAAAGTTGGAAAGCTAACGCTGAAGACAACAGAAATGGAAACAATCTATGATCTGGGGAACAAAATGATTGACAGTTTGATGAAAGAGAAAGTTAGTAAGGATGAATAATGACTGTTTACTCTCATATTGTTTCTCGGGTTTCTTGAAATGACGATTTACTTAACTAAGGTACAAGCTGGAGACGTAATCACAATAGACAAAGCCACGGGCAAGATAAACAGGTTGGGAAGGTCATTCACCAGAGCTCGTGACTACGACGCAACTGGTTCTCAAACTCGCTTTGTTCAGTGCCCTGAGGGTGAATTGCAAAAACGCAAAGAGGTCGTCCATACAGTAACGTTGCATGAGGTTGATGTTATAAACAGTAGAACTCACGGATTTCTGGCGTTGTTCTCTGGCGACACAGGAGAAATTAAATCGGAAGTGCGCGATCAAATAAACGCGAAAGTCGCCGAGTGGCGCGAGGAAGGGAAAGCAGAAATCGTTCCAGGCGTTTTGTTCATTGACGAGGTTCACATGCTCGACATCGAATGCTTCTCGTTTCTTAATCGAGCGCTGGAAAATGAAATGGCGCCGGTCGTTATCATGGCTACAAACAGAGGTGCTTGTACAGACTCGTAATTCTATGCTATCTTGATTAACAGAAAATATTGATCGTTGAACTTTATAGGTATTACGAGAATCAGAGGGACAAATTACAAAAGTCCGCATGGTATTCCAATAGATTTGTTGGATCGTATGATCATCGTCCCGACAAGTCCGTATCAAGAAAAGGAATTGAAAGAAATTCTAAAGATAAGGTGCGAAGAAGAAGATTGTGAAATGGCGGACGACGCTTTAACAGTTCTTACCAGAATCGCATTGGAAACCTCGTTGAGATACGCGATTCAGTTGATTACGACTGCTTCTCTTGTTAGTCGGCGAAGAAAAAGCACGGAAGTAAATACCGAGTTATACTCTATCTACCTCTGTGTTATCGTTCTTCTTACACCGAAAATCTAATGATGTAATATAACAATATGTAATATGTTTTAGGTTAATATCGATGACGTGAAACGTGTCTACTCGTTGTTCCTCGATGAAAATAGATCCACGCAGTTTCTCAAAGAATATCAGGATGATTTCATGTTCAACGAAATACGTAAGTAAATTTTAAGAAAAATAAATAAGGGATAATGTTGGAATCTTTACGTTTTTCAATTTTTATTCGTGTAATTGTTTGTTCCAGTGGAGGAACCGATGGAAATATCGTAACAATAGATAAATAAATGATACATTGAAACTTGGACGTTGTTCAATAAAGGTTTGCAATTTCTTACTTACAAATTCCATAATACTAAATGTACATATAAACATTATGTCAGAAGTGGCGCGCTATACATCGAATTAAATACAAAAAAACTTAACAAATTCTGTTCCCATACTTGCTACAGTTTGGTTTCGCAATGTTTGATTATATCAATACTCGTTACGATTATATCAATAAGTTCAAAGTGACAAGATTAATTATCGAGGTAAATTAGTTTTTGGTGTGAATTTCCCATCATCGCGTGAGATGCAAGTCTTTTGCAATTTTTTTTTTTTTTTTGAGATTCACTTAAAATGTCTAGCCTCGACGCAATAAATTTATATCATCTCACCTTTGTCAGTACTACTTTGCCATATGAGTAAAGGCCTGGACTTAGCTTGTATTTGTACTTTTACGTTTTCTTCTCGTAGCTTCTCTTAACTGTAAGAAACGATTAACTTTTAACTTTTACGTTTCACATGTATGTGTATATAGAGATATGTACACAGTTTCACTTACTCGTTATCAATTTAACTCCATCCTCCGGCTTGAAGGACGATTGCTTCTTGTCCTTCGATGTAAATCCCAAGCCATATTCCGTTTTGTAAACTGAGAGGGGGATCACCGTGGACGAGACTGGTACCATCACTGAAACAATGATCGAAATTGAAATTCCACATTAAACTGTAAGGTTAGGTTTCGTTCCAAGAGTTAACAAGTGACAAAATTTTCTTGATCAGTAACGCGATTTGTCTTTTGTCTCGATACGTAGTAGTTCGCGATACACAAGTACTTAATGAGGAATATTTTCTTGTCGATTTTAATCGAATATCGATTCAAGTAGACTAGGCTACGCCGATGTTGACCGGTTTAATTGCTGATATTCGACGCAGCCACTCAAATGAAAGTCGAACTGTAGCATTTACTCGTGAAGATCTCTGCTATTACGATTGCCAACAACCTCTTTTGTGAGTGGCTGCTTATGAATTATCTCGTTAATTCTTTTGAATATTTCATCGATTCAATATCCACTCCCTTTCTCTCTCTTTCTCTCCCCCCACTTCTCTCTGGTATTAAAGATGAATCGTAAAAGTTCCTAGTGTTATCGTTTCCTGCGACACTCGTCTATTTTTAGTGGTCGTAAGATCAGAGAGATGTCGTAAGATACGGTTAGGTTAAGCAATACACTTGGTTCGATGATGCGCGAGAAAATCGTCGGTTTACAAAATCACCGGTGACCAACGTCGAAGATCGACGATTAATAGAAACTATGAGCCATCTCGTAAAAGAAGAAGAAGCTAGATAGTGTTCTCAGTTTTCTAACGGAGTTTTTAATTATGTCTTAATCGTTAGCCCGCAGCTACGTATTAGCGATCGAAGTCTCTGAAGTTATCAAGAAGCTGTTAACTCGATCATCGCAACGTAACTCGATAAACTCGACGTTATGACCCAATAAATCGATTTTTCTAGTAGCGTAATAACTGAATGGCGGTGGATTTTCTTTCGTTCGTTTCTAACAAATATAAATCCTGTTCGCTGTATCGTACGATCTTTGATCGATGGCTCCGGTTTCTTAGTTGCTTATGAGATAGTAAAAGTTGCAGTTAGTACATCTAGAAACTATGTACTGCTTCTACTTTAAATCTGCTCGGATTTTTATTTCAGCGATAAGTAATAGAAACAACGAAGTAATTGTTTAAAAATCAGACGTCTTTGTATAGAAATTAGGTTGCATTTTCCAAGAAATAGGGCTCTAATTGAGCCTTGAACTAACGATATTTCCAGTTGTAGAAAATGCTCTTCCAAAGCTGGCAGATGTTGCTGGTGTACATAAATATCTTTTAGCAACTTTTATCTTTTTATAAAAATTTTTTTCTTCCGATTCTCCGTCATTCGGAAGAAAAATTGTAATCTGTTATATCATTTGTCAAAAATTATAAATTACTCGAAACATCGGATAAAATTGTATCGAGTGTCTGAATAACCGACGAGTGGTAATTAATTCTAACCTCAATTATCTCGCAAGATAACCGATATCTGGGACTCGGATATCTCACGAAATACTCGAGTGTAATGAGATAATTGAAACTACACATTTATTATTATTACTCGTATTACTCGGATGTCTATAATACAATTTTCATTTCAGCGATAAATAATAAAGCAACGAAGCAATTGTTTCAAATTAGATGCCTTTGGTATAAAAATACTAATAAGTCTGCATTTTCCAATAGTAGGTTTAGGTTAGGCTATCCATCCATCTTGAACTAACAATATTTCCAGTTGAGGAAGATACTCTTTCAAAACTTGACAGTTATTGTTAATGTACATAAATATCTTTTAGCAAGTTTTACCAATCTTGAACAATTTTTCTCTTCGATTCTCATTCATAAATTGTAATTTACATAAAGGCATAAATTACTCGAAACATCGAATAAAATTTGTATCGAGTGCTCGGGTATCTGACGAGTCGAATGGTAATAACTTTAGTTTCCAATTACTTCGTAAGATACTCGGGTATTCTAACATTTAAGAGACGAGACCCATAAATTTATAAAATTTTTTTTATGCTAGATTTATTTTGATATGAAAATAACTAACCTCTAAGAATTTTATTAAGAATTAGATAAAGAGCTAATTTAATAAGCAACGCTTTAAAACCTTGCACGCATTTCTCTTTAATTCCCTCAAAAATGCCCTGGAATTGGAAAAAAGTAAAAAGAAAAATAATTCGTCATATTAAGTGTTAAAATTACTAGATAACCTTGCTCTACTCGGGTCTCCACGAAATGTGTTTTGTTGATTATATCTTTCTAACGTGTAATAGCGTTTAAACTTGAAGCAATCATCAACAGGTGCATTGCAAGTTTGCTAGAACAAATGTAATATACGAGAGTACGATGCACAATTTCAATCTCTGGAAAAATAATATCTTCCGCCATTTTTTAAACTTTCGTAAGAAGCAGTAGAAAGTGTTTAATTTATGTGAATCATTCCAACGAGTGTCGACACAAAGGAAAATTCTTTTTCCGAAATACTTTCTTCTCGTGTTGTTATTATAGCTTACTAGACGCATTACAGGCATCTGTTTAGATATATTACACTGATTATATCAACACCAAATGTATACGTTCATAATTATAAAAAGAGGAAGTCCAAGTTGTTAGCTAGATGTTGTCCCCCTGAGAAAGAACAGAAGTGGAGTGCAGACAGGGTTAACGAAAGGTGAATCGATGAAAATCGGTAATGCAACTCCGCGAAAGAAAATGGCGGCATGCAGACTGGCGCACCACCTAACCTAAAAAAGAAACGTCGAGTGTAACAGTGCGTTGCGTAATCAAATAATAAAATCTGGCAGCAGCTAGAGTAATCTTGCTATCCTAGAAACCAGTCAGGTTTCTTTCCGAGTGTGAAAACACAACTGCTCCGAGGATACGATTGCGATCCTCGCTATAATCGAAGCCCACGCTGGCCGTGCACCGACGTCATCGCCCCGTTACGCTTCAAGGAAATTCGGGATTCGAGAGACCTCCATTTGGCTCTTTATTTGGCCATAGGTTCGAACTGTGTGAAACTTCCGTGGACGCGAAGAGGCCTCACATTGTTAGCACGATGTCTCGCGAGCAAGTAACCAACTCGATCAAGCTCTCTAAAATTCCATCGGTGTTAGATCAGATTTACCGAGACGTCGATTCATTTGTCAGTCTTTCGTAATTTGTCATTATCGTTGTCTCGTTCTGTCGAGCAAGGTAAACGAGCTTCGGGGATGTAATCATCGCCAGAGTTAGATCAGAGAGATCTACATATTTTTTTTTTTTTTTTTTTTAAGAGCATACATTATAATCGTCTCTTTTTTTAGAGAAATATAGTAAGTAATTAGGATGACGTGACGTACGTAATGGCATGTACGAAATGTAATTTATGCAGTACAGTAAGCAAAAAGTGGTCTCCAAAATTGTCAATTTATCGAACAGAAAAAGAAAAGCAAGGAAAGGCAGAGAGGAGGTCAAGGCGAATCTTCACCGCAGAAACAATTCAGGTGAAAGCTTATCCGTGACCAGATAATCGCGCGCGACCGGGAAAAGAGAAACCGTAACTTTCGATTCTTTTTTTTTTTTTTTTTTTTTTTTTTTTTTTTTTTTTTTTTTTT